AATACTGCAGTTTGGAGTGAAGGATTTTGTTTCTGTGTTACTTAGGCAATGAAATACAGTAATGATTTGCCTTATTTTATTAACTCTCCTTTTGTGTTTCAATCCTTACTTGAAGTTCTTAACTCCCTGGACCTATTTAGTTTATGTTAGTATTTATTTATGTATATTACATAAGTTTTATAATAAACTAATAAACACATAAATAATGTATTATTAGTATAATATTTATTAGATGGGAACAAATTTCAAAAACCTGTCAGGATTTTTCATTTTCCTTCCAAAAATGATCTCCATAGAACTAGTTTATGTAACGGATGAAAACGATGTGTCATCCTCACTTCTGCTTGCTCACCTGCCGGAGTGAGGTCTGTCATTGTCTTTGCTTCCTAACTAGTGACTTCCACATCCTTATCGCCACACACATCCCGCGTGTGAGCGAATGGTGAGGAAATTGGGTCATTCAGTAAAATGAAAGTACTGCTACTGCAGTGACACCAACAAAGGGAGTTGGGGGGGGGGTCAGGAGGACAGCCAGAGCCAGGGGGAGGTGGGAGTTGCTGATGGCACCTGAATGGCGGAGTGGGTGTCCCTGTCCTTAGCCCACTTTGTGCTTCTGTGGGTCACTAGTGTGTCTGCTGTAACCAGGCTGCTCTCCTCTGTCCCTTCCCCATTCTTCCCCCATCCTCTTAGTCATGCTCTCCTGGTGGGCGTTCTCTTCCATCCACCCCTGTTTCCTAATGTTATGTTCTTTCTCCAACCCTGGTAGAAACTCTGAGGGAGGAGGAGGACGGGGGTGCTAGTTTCTTTAGCCATTCACCTTCCAGCCACTTCTGGGCTTCATCCAAACCAACTGGCCCAGATGTTGCCATGAAGACTCTCCTCCATCAGATTCAGCCTCCTTGGGTCTGGGTTGTGGCATCTAATGGCATCTGTGCCAGAGGCATCTAAAGTCTTGGGCACCCAGAGGGGCCATCTATGCGTGAATAGGAATTTGTCCCTCCTCTTTAATGTTACTTGCTTTCTGTCTTACAGGGCAAAATAGGGTCTCCGTGTGTGCCTTTACTGTGCTAGTTGGGATATCTGGTTAAGAATAATTTATAGAATGATCAAGGAGAGGCTCAAAGAACCCAAAGACCCTGATGCAGCTGGGATTTGGAGGGGACTAGCTGTTGGGACTATTTCCATTGCGCTCCAGGCAGCTGCTTCATCTTCATCTTGAAGACATCCTTTCTCTGCCCCCTGGTTCACTCGGTAGGTGAAAAATGGCCATCCGGAGACCACATGCAGGTAGATAGGTCAGCCTCACGCAGACATATTCCCTGCTAGTTCCCATGTCAGAGTTCCCAGAAGAGAGGCTCTTAGTGGCCCAACCTGGACCAAGTAACCATTCCTGGTCCAAACAGCTGTGATGAGCAGATGGGATTACACAGTGCAGACCTGGGTGCTGGGCCCCCTGGCCGTATGAGGAAGAAGAGTCCGGTTACCAGACAAGGGAAAAGTCATTGGTTCAGTGGCGGGATGGGTACCTTTTGAAGGTACCTTCATTAGCCTTTTATTTATTCATTCAACATATAGTTACTGACTGCCTACTGTGTGCTAGGCACTATTTGGGGTGCCGAGGACAGAGCTGTGCGCACGGCAGAGTCCCTGCCCTCAGGGCCTTGGCCATCAGCTCAGTGCTCGTCTGTTTGCCTACTCTTGTTCTCTTAATTCTTTCCCTTTGCTTTGGTTTCTTTTTCGTCTAATAGATGTTTATTGAACTCCCACTGTCTGCTGACACCGTGCCTGTTTATATGGGGGTGTTGTAAGCATACACTCTCATTTTGTATGGTGGTATTTGCAAAATGCATTAACTCAGAATTTGTCTCATGAGTCTGAATTTGAAACCTTAGTCATAATGTGCTTTGCTATATATGGCATAGTGTTTCCGTAGGCAATACATTTTCGACAAATTCGTGTTGTTTTCAAATATTAATGTTTTTGTCCAACACAAGGTTGGGTTAAGTAAAATGAGGCCACTGAGGTAGAAGAAAGTTGTCTGAGTCTTTTAGGGGGTGGGCGGGTAAACTATAACTATTTCTACTTAGAAAGAGCATCCCCAGGTCTGGCCCTGTTGTGGTACAGAAGGATGAGGTAATGTGGGATATTATTGTAAACTGTCATCACTACTTGTGTCAGTAATTTTTTCATCCCAATATTTGTTATCCGGCATTTAAATTTTTGTTTGGAAAAACTATTGTTTCTATTCTTATTTCTATCAGTGATGCTTTTTTGTCCCAGTCTTCTTCAAACCCCAGTTACCTAACGTTTCTTCTCTTTTCTGGCCCACATTCAATCCTCCTCTTCCCCTGCCAAAAAAAAGTCTTGCAGAGTTTCCTTTGAGATGTTTCTCATGTCTGTGCTTTTCCCATCCTCCATTCAGCTCATACTTTTTATCATCTTGCTTCTAGACTGTAGAATTAACTTCCTACCTGGTCTCCTTACCTGCACACTCTCTCCCTCCGCACCACCTGCACTCCACTGCCGGATGCTGCTCTCCTGGGCAGAACCTTCGGCGGCTTCCCGTGACCTTCAGGAGGAGGCTCAAGCTTCTCGGCTTGGCCTTTAAGTCATCCACAGTCTGGCCCCAGGCTATTTTTTTGTGAGCTCCCCAGGTTGGACCCTCAGTGGCGATTTTTTTTTTTTTAAATTGGCCCCAATACAATTTTGTCTACTTGGGTCTTTGCTGAAGCTCTCCTTGCCCCGAGCCACAGCATCCTGGCCTTGTCTGCTCTGCTCACCCCACCGTCAGGCTCTTCTGTCTGCCCTCAAAGCCGTCCCCACCACCTCCCAGCCCAGGCACAAAGACGCTGCTGACCCCTGGCCTCATTAGCACCTTAGAGCCCGTTCTTAATCCTTGCTCATAAGCACAGCACCCTGGTTACACCTTTGTGCCTTCAACTAGCCAGCAGCATCCTACAGGGGATCCTTAACTTTGGCCCGTTAGTATCACTTGAGGAGATCTAAAAACAATGTGACCACAGCCAGAAACTGTGAGGGTGAGGCCCAGGGAGAGCTCCCCCAGTGCTCCTGATGTGTAAGGAGGGGACGTGAGAACCACTAAGTGAACACGGGCCAGGTGATGAACTATCTGACCCACACTCGTGTGTGTGGTTGGGGCCCTCTGTGCATGTCACTCACTGCATCTCCGCCTGCAGGATTCAAAGGGACCCTTTATAAGACTTGAGTTAACATGATTTATTACGCCAGCAAATAGGAGTGCCCCTAATGTGCCAGGCACTGTACTGGGTGCCGAGGTCACTGCAGTGAACACAGCATGTTCCTGCTGTCCTGGACCTGTCCAGACCATCCGTAAATAATATCAGGTAACAGTAAGTGCTGTGGAGGGCAGAGAGGAAAGAAGCACTTTTACATAAATAATCTCCATCCGCCTCACATCAGCACATGCTTTAGCACCTGGCTTTCCCTGGTGGAAGTCGGGGAGCCCCAGCTGGTGAGCCAGTCAGTCTGGAGGAAGGGATTCTTGCTCTCTGCTGCCCCTTGTCGAAAAGGAGAGGGCCTAGCAGTGTCCTGTGGAGCCAGAGGGACCCCAGAAAGTGGGAGCTAGAGGGAAGGAAGTGGGGGATGAGGCTGGCAATGGGGAACAGCCAGGGCCCTGTGGGCACATGCTAAAAACCAGGAGGAAAACTGCAGTGTGCCTGGCCTGTGACCAGGGGCCCGGCCATGAGCACTGGAGCCTGCACCCACCGGGTGCCCCGACTTGGGTGAGGGGAGAGCCCTTAGCCCGCTTCAGACTTAACCCTAACTTAATGTCAGCTCTCAATAGCCAACTGTACATTTTGCTTGTCCCCCTCTCACGATAGGATTGTCATCCTTATAATCACTTTAAGAGGACAATTTAGCCAAAACTTTCTTTTTCAAGATGTTTCCGTGTAACAATGAACAGTGTTCTTCATAGCTGGGAAGTGGAGGTTTACTCAGATGTCAGATTTCAAAATGATCTGCAATGTTTATTTCTTTGATAGGTGGAAAACATGGCAGTATTAGAGCGAATGCATAGTTAACCAAGACAAGATAAGGCTTCATCTGTAGGGCATTCGTTTTGCTGGGATCCTTTATCTCCGACGCCTCTCATGAAGGTCAATTCTCAAGCTGGGTGGCCCCTTCTAACGAGGGATACTGCCTGGGAAGGGGTGTCTGTGTGTCTGTGTGTGTGTGTGTGTGTGTGTGTGAGAGTGTGGAGGGGACAGTTTTAGCAATGGGTATACCCATCTCCATGCTGACATGCCCTCAAGTGAAGGTTATTGGGGGTGGGAGTGGCTCACCCCGAGGCTTGACTATAGGACTGAAATCAAATCTTCAGGAGATAGGCTGGCTTGTGGCGTAACCACAGAAACAGTAACTTAAGCAATGAAATGAAAGCTCACGCGTCGGTCCCCAAGCTGGGGTTGGTACAGCTGCTGCACTCAGGCTGCCAGACACATCTTGGGAGAAAAGCAGCGGCCCCTTCAAGATGATGGAGGGAGCACGCCCTTCACAGGGGGTGGGGCATCCCCCGTTTAGAGCGCAGAGGTGTGCTTTCGTGTCCCCTCCTGCGGGAACTGCACGCAGGCACATCCCCGTAGCTGTCGTCTCTCTGTTCCTGAGCACAAAGACTCCCCGAAAACCCAGTTCCAAAGCTGAACGCCTGGGACTAGAGGGGGTGCTCCGCAAGGTGGGGGGGCCCACTGGCCTTTGTCCCCTGCCATCTCCCGCGTCCCCACAGGCCCCCTGCAGCCCGGCCAGCCGAGGCCACTGGGGGGCAACAGCGCCGTGGGGGCGGGGCCCGCCGCGGCTGCGGCGGCGGCGGCGTCTCCAGGGCGAGCCAAGGTACATAGGCGGCGCCCGCCGCGCCGAGAGCATCCTTTCCCCGCCGGCCCGCCCGCCCGCCACCTCCTGCCTGGTGCCTGACTTCTTTGTGTCTTGTCCCTGCCCCGTGCCTTGTCTCCGCAGGACCCGTTCGTTCTTCCTCGGGCTATAAGAAGGCAGAGGATGAGATGTCCCGGGCCACGTCTGTTGGAGACCAGCTGGAGGCACCAGCCCGCACCATTTACCTCAACCAACCGCATCTCAACAAATTCCGCGACAACCAGATCAGGTAGGGGAGGCGGCTGAGACGCCAAGCGGCGGCGGACCTGCAGCTGGGAAGGGGCTCGTCTTACCGCTGTTAGCTTCGCTGCGCACCTAGCCAGCCCCCACCCCGCGGCTTCCTGGGCGCCTTTCTCTCCTCTCCCCCTCTCCTCCTCCTCCTCCCGGGGCCCCGCGGTCCGTGCCGCGCTTCCAATGGGGTCATGTTGATACAGCCTTCACCTTCCTCTCCTTTGCATTTATTCTGTGCCCAGCCTGTCTGTGAGCCCCGAGGAAGTTTTTATTCTAAAGTCACCGACAAAAACGAGGTCTCTTCTCTTTTCATCCCTGGGGTCCCTTCCAAAAATCCCCTCCACCCTTGTTTTAAACCAGTTGACAGCTCTCCTTAGCCATTTGCAGACCATGCTGTGGGGAAGTGCTTTATAAGGGAATTCCACAATTCACAAGGACTCACATTCAGTTCTAAGTGGTCCACAACAACATTTGTTAAGAGGTCTTTATTCGCTGGGAAACTTTGCCCAGAGTTAGCAGAAAGATGGACGGAAGCTAGCATTTAAATATCTGCTTTTTGCCAGCAGCTATGTCAAACGCCCTAGCTAGACTAGCTTAATGAATCTTCATAACCTCTTGAAGCAGGCATTATTGCCTCCAGATCGGGAAACTGAAATATAAAGATGCTAAGTAACATACCTGTGGTCATATAGCTCCATAATGGCAGAGCTGGAAGTTGAACCCGGCCCATCTGACTACTAAGCTCGAATTCTTTCTGCTGTGCAAAGCTAGTCCGTTAGCAAGGGTGCTAGTACATTTTCAAATTTCATTTAACTTCCAGGCTTAGACAACTTTATATCTGAGAGTGGCTTCAGAGGATGTAATTCTGTGAGCTGCTCAGAATACCATGCTTGGGTATAGAGACGTTCAGGGATTGATCAGGTTACACATAGATTATTGACAAAACTGAATTCCAATCCAGTGTTCTTTTTTGACAGTTCTGGCCCGAACTTTGTTGTTATAGGTTTAAGTATTCCATTACTGATTAACACTTGTACAGGCTGTTTAGCCTGACATCTTTATTTAGAAAGGTCTGGCTGTTGGAGGTTATAGGATTGATAGGATTTGGAGTAGAATAATGGTGTGTATTATAGGGAGGTGATACCTTCATTTATTAAGGGAATGTTAGATTATGATGGCTTTATTTTGGGTTTTAAGAATGATCACTGGGCATATTTTGTACTTAAAAGTGTAGCTTAGGAGACTAGCTGAGTCCCCATTCCAGGTTTAAGGCAGAGAGCATCAGCCACAATGAATTATAACTCCACAAACTAGGGCAGCTCTAATAAAAAGACAGATAACAAGTGCTGGCAAGGATGTAGAGAAATTGGAATCCTCATATGTTGCTGATGGGGATGAAAAATGATGCAGCTGCTTTGGAAGACAGTTTGGTAGTTCTTTAAGAAGTATAAGTTACTGTATGACCCAGCAACTCCACTCCTAGGTATATATAATCAAAAAAATGAAAACACGTATCCACTCAAAAACTTGCACACAAATGTTCATAGCAGCATTTTTCATGATAGCCACAAAGTAGAAATAATCCAAATGTCTGTTAACTGATGAATGAATAAATAAAATGTGCTATATCCACACAATGGAATATAATTTGGCCATAAAAAGAATGATATACTGGTGCATGCTACAACATAGGTGAACCTTGAAAACATGCTAAGTGGAAGAGGCCAGTCACAAAAGGCCTCATATGATTCCATTTATATGAAGTATCCAGAAGAGGCAAATCTATAGAGACGTACGGTAGATTAGTGGTTCCCAGGGCTGGGAAGGGGACAAAGAGTTGGGGAAAATGGGAGGTGACTGCTAATGTGCTTGGGGTTGATGACAGCACAACTCTGCGAATATACTTAAAACCATTTGGAATACTGCACTGCTAACATAGTTCCATTTCTTCACACTTTCTTATATGTAGTTCTATAAAGTTCCTTCTAAAAAGATGAAGATTATTTTAAAAAGATATATTGTATAAGGATAGGGGAATTAAGGAGTTACTTTTCGTTTTAAACTTTAATATGTTTTCAAGTAGCATTTTTGCTTAGTTCCTATTAATTTCTTTAATTTTGTTATCCATCTGTGCATGCTTTAAGGCTGGGAGAATAAAATAGAGGCCTCTGTTTATGTGCAAATTCTCTAGTTTCCATGGAAGGTGAAGATTTTTAAGAGCTTTGGAAATGGAGCCTCACTACCTGTTCTGTAATCAAGGCTGAAAGATGACTTTTGAGACGGATTTTATTATTTGTCAGAGGGATTCCAGGTGACTACCTGTTGTACAGTTTCATCTGTACTTTTTCGTAGGGGAGGAGAAATCAGTGTGGGAATGTAGTAGATTAGCTAGGAATAAAGTAGGCAGATATCCACTGTTCTCTCTACTTGTATGGAGAGTCTTGTGTAAGTATATAGTTGAGTTAGTTGAAATATATTAAATATTAAAATTCATGCAATTTCTGGGTTCATGGCTTATACTTGTGAGCATGTTTTCAAATGCACTGGATAGGACCTAAGAAATTAAAATGTGGTCCTTGGTGTTCTATAAAATGGCCTTTGAGTATTTGATTCACCTTGACTGTTTAAATAGGAATTACTAATAGTTATCAGTGACTTGTAGTTCATTAAGAAATTGATTACAAAGCTTCTTAGCATTATAGTTTAAGAATTTTACAAAACATTGAGCCATGTTATTTTAGCGCCTTCATGTTGCCGAAGTCAAGTCTTATAGAATATTGATCTTTAAAAAATAAGACTTTTTATCTTGGCCATGAAAGTTTGCTAAAAGTTGATAAAGATATTCAAAGAAATATTTTCATTAGAGGATGAGGGATTTATTTTTTTTCATATGATTTTTCTTGCGAAAGCTTAATGGTTTTTCTTAGAGGCAGGGGCATGGAGGGTTTATCTCTGCTTCTAAATTGAGCTTTTTGAAAAGAAGGAGCCACATGGGACAAACGAGGCTGATGATACTCTACCGAAGCAGGGATGTGTGATTTATTTGGATGTTGTACTCCTAGGGAGGCCTCTCACTTACTTTGCCCCCACCCCAAGCTCCTTCTGTCTTAGAACCTTGAGACTGTGACTGTGGCAGTTGCTCTGTGCTTGCCTTTGTGGGCAACCGGCATTTTGACTTGAGGACAGGAATCGGAGTTTGGTGCAGGGGGAGGGAGGTTGTTGGGCATCAGGGGAGGATGGCAAGGGGTGACACGGAGAGCAGCAGTGAGAAGTGCACCTCTGGGCTCCACTGTGGCCTTGGCACCCCCAGGGGAATGCAGGACACGAGAACTCTAAATTCTGGGCAATTCCTTGAATTTATGGGAGGGACTGTGCCACAGATGTGGATGTCCCTCCAAACCTTGGTCTTGTTCTCGACACCGAAGGTAACGCCAGTGTTTGATCTGAATCCTGCTGTAGGTTTATTACGTTTTCCATGAGTGGAGCCAATGAATTTGGATTATCATAATTATGGAGAATTATGAAGTAGACTTTTTCTTATAGGCATTGTTTTCTAGGTTCTTAACTATGTGGACAATAACTTCCTTTACTCTCTAAACAAGAATAGTAATTAATGGGATTCAGTGTTCACGTACATATGTAGGAGTGTGTATGTGTCTGCCTGACAAGATTTCTTTTTTCTGAAGTGTACAACCATAAATGTTCTAAATGTTTAAGGGCGTAATTCAGCCATTTAAAGCGTACAAGTCAGTGGTTTTTAGTATATTCACCGGGTTGTCAACCGTCACTACAATTTTAGAACATTTTCGGCATCTCCAGAAGAAACCCTATACCCTTTAGCTATCATCCCCCATCCCTTCTTCCCCCCAGCCCTAAACAACCACTGATCTACTTTATATCTCTATAGATGTCCCTGTACTGGACATTTATATGAATGCCATCATACCCTTTTAAGTGTTTTAAGTTAAATATCAAATGCTTACAAAAAGCTATTTAGAGGAATCTGGTGGTGAGTCTTTAATAGTGTATCTAAATTTTCAAAAATAGTTAAAGTCAAAATGTTTTTTCCCCAGACGATATCTTGAAATAATTTACTAATCAAAGGAATGAGCAATATTTATGTCGTCACTCTCAGGCATATGTAACCTTTCTATGTGATTATCAGCATGCCATTCGAAGCAGTGATTCTCAAAGCTGTAAGGCAGTTTCCTTGAATGTTTGAAATGAGGTCTTCAAAGCAAGTTAGGAGTGTTTACAGATACTCAGATCTGAATGACTCATTCATTTCAGGGGGGCGTCTCAGCTAGCGAAGTCTTCATTAAATTGATAACTTAAGCTTTGTCAAGTTATTGCATTTCTTCAGGTTAGTTTATCTTAAAGGACAATTACTTTATATAAACATTTTGTTGGCTTCGTCAAGGTGGTTTTAAAATAGAATATTACCTTTACAGAAAAGGGACTTGGGCACTGTGCACCAGGTTTGTACACGATCTTTGTTTCATAATATGCTGGGATCCTAATGTCTGAGAGGCTATTTTTGTCTTAAGGAATGGAGAGAAAAAAATAATCTTCAGCAACCATTTGTTGGTGAATAGTGGAGGTAGATGGCACATATGGTCCTAGAGCCAATGTCACCAAGTACTCGAGGATGAAAAATTCTCTAAATGTTTTAAAGCTGCAGAATTTAGGCAGGCTCTGGTCTTAAACGTGTAAGCTGCTTACAATTTAACAAAGAAACCATACCAAGATCCTAGTGAGAATCCTAGCTTTCTTTTGATTCATGTAGAGATCATTGTCTTAAAAATCAAGGTTTAATACATCTCAGATTTGAGACTGCTGTCCTTGTCAAGTCTGGCAAAGGTAAAAGTATTTCTTATCAAGAGTAATCCTGATGTTGAAAGAATTCTAGCTGCTACTCACCTTAAAACAGCCTCCAGATTTTGCTTCTGTGTACGCTGCTTTTCATTTAGAGGCGGATAGACTGGGTTAATCTCCAAA